AAAAAAAAAAAAAAAACAAAACAAGTCTTACTTTAGTTTATTTTCATCAACTAAAGTTTCTCTCTCACATAATATTTCTTTCCCATATCTACGTAGAAAAACAACAAAACCTTAAATATTACTTCATTATTACACACGATTTCTACATTAAATATCCTAATAATCATAAACGCAAACCACTTATTATGAATTTTTATTGTTTAAGATTAATTTTGTTGCTTTATATTCTCTTAAAAGCCTCTGTCGCGATATAACTTCACTGGTTTTTAGTCTTTTTGAAAACCTAAAGTTCTTCCCTTAATAAAGAGTATTGCATATATTTATGAAATACTCAGCAGGATCAAACACCTTGAATTATGCACATAGCCACTCATAATTTCATAAGCACTCATACGTATGAATGTGTAAAAAGGAAAAAAAGACAAAAAAAAAAGTTATAAGAAGAAGTCGTGACTAGTATGACTTGCCCCTAAAACAAATTGCGGCATAAGGCGTACAGACATATATTTGTAGGGCATTTATGATGAAAAACTCAAATCAGGGTTAAAATGAACAGAAGCGCAAAGGCATACATGTCAAGAAGCATTTATTAAATTATGATTACATTTCAATATTTTATGCATCAAATTTATTATGATTTTTCTAGTGTGGGAAATTATTGAAATTTTTTTTTTTTCTACAATATATAACAAAGCCTCTATCTGTATGGGTAGAGTAAGTTTTAAACGGAAGTTTTAAATTAAATTATAATAACTTAGCTTTGCATATTAAGCTATAGAAAGACCGGTAAACTATGAAAGTGTACGAAGCTATGGAAATCGAATTCAGAAGCTCCTTTAAATTTAAATTTAGCGCTTGTTTTTTTTTTTTTTTCTTTTTTTTTTATCTAAAATTAATTAAAGAAAGAAGGAGAGCGCAACTCAAAACCTTGATGAGTGCGATCATTGATTTTTTTTTTTTTCTCTACTACTCTCTTGCTTGAAGGTCTTTTCTTTACAAAAAAGGGTTGCCATACTTGTTATAGGTTTCTAAAATAAGAAATTTCTGAAATGATTTGTCTACTTGCGAAAATAGCAAAAGTACAGTCAAATAACAAAGCAAGAAAGTTAATTACCAGGCGAACGTTGAAAGCATGAAAATGTAAAATAAACACTCATACGTGTAATAGCGGATTTTAAATCTTTTTGCCCTCAACTATGACCGTCCATATCTTGAACTAGCTCATGCTTCTTCTAAAAGAGGATCTATGGCCAGAATCTACCTATACAGGCATTAATTTTCACCTTTCTACTCTGAATTCTGTATCGCGGGCTGCTTTTAAGAGCAGGATAAAATGACTAATATGTAAATGTGTCTCTAGAATGTTTGTACATGCATTTGCGTAAATCTCGATCTCATCTCTAACTATGTATAACCATATCCATGTCCATCTTTGTAAAACATAATCTATGGACGTAGTCTAAGTATATAGGTATCAATATTGACCTCTGTACCGCAAATTCTGTGATCATTGGGTGCTTTTCGCAACAGGACAGACGCACTGACATCGCTAAACCGATTTTGACTCTTACGCTTATTAAAAATATGCCTATAGCATCTATATAAATACGCTATCTAATCTCAAATCATATATAACCATATGTGACCATTGATATCTAAGACCTTTGAAAAACACGATCTAAGGACATAATCCAATTACGCAGGCATTAATATTCACTTTTTCCCCTTAAATTCTGCGATCGTGGGGTGCTTTTAACAGCAGGGCAGACAGACTAATATGACTAAATCGATTTTGACTCTTACGCTTATTAAAAATGCACCTATAGCATCTATATAAATAAGTTTGCATTCAACACTATCTAATCTTGAACCATATATATAAATATGTAGCCACTGATATCTTGGACCTGTGCAAATTCTCTGTAAAACAGGATCTATGGACATAATCCAAGTATGTAGACATTAATATTCATTTTTCCTCGCTAAATTCTTCGATCAGGGGGACAGACAGACTAATACGACTAAATCGATTTAAACTTTTATGCTTATTGTAAATATATTTCTAGTATCTATGTAAATATGTTTACATATAACTTTTAAATACCTATTTATTTTTTCAAAATAAAAAATATACTCGATCTTCTATAATAATATTTCCGATTGTTAGAAATGGAATAATAAAGAATGATTGCATCTTCATTGTTCAGTATTATGCACATTCAATGAGTCATAATTAACAGTTAGTCGACTTGAAAAAAGAAAATGTGAAATTATTTTATAACATCGTCCTAGGAGAAGTAATCGGTTTAAAATATTGCAATGAATTAACCTAGCTAGGTTAACGCAAAAATGCATTTTAGAATTGTCCATTAAACAATCAACTACCAACGTCTCGTGGTTATTTGCAAAAG